TTCATGTTGATGGTGGTTTAGCAATTCAAGAAGCGTTTGTCTGATGCAGAGATTACAACTTATCCATGTTTTTAAAGGATACGGTAATATATCTATTTTGTTTGTCATGAAAAGACCAACACAATAATTATGTGAATAATATCTACTCTTCCCCTTGAAAAATATCACCGCATAAGATATAATAGTTGCCACAGTGATGCCTATCCAGAATTGTAAAAGCCTTGAAACTCATGAGTCTCGGACTTCTCACTGGTCTTTAATGCTGCACCCGACGTGCAGCATCGTGCATTGCTGCATTGCTGCAATGCAGGGGGTGTTTCAGTCTGTGTGCTGAAAAACGTCTGAATACACACTGGACTTCTATTCAAACTGACAAATGCTCAAAATTAAACAGCGCCCAGGTTTAAGTTGTGCTTTTTTTGTTTTTTCAAACCCATAACGGGTTGAAAATGAGATTGGGGCTTGGAGCTTCATGGGATTTTTTTTATTTAGGTGCAAGAGCACATGCAAATTTATTTCAAGTAATTTTGATCTTGTCATTTTGGTTTCTTCAAGTGAAATAAAGCTCCGATCGTAAAAAGAAATCCCCAAGTGATTAGGAAAGTTTGCCATTCTCACTCCTGCTTTGTCGATTTTAATGATTTCTCTTTTCTCCTCATCTTGTTGTATATGGTCGACCCACTTGGTTCCTACTAACGATTCAACTTTCATTCATTTAATCGGGACGAGCGATACTGGAGCCGAGTGATCCAGCCGAAAGAAGGAAGCCGAGTCTTTAGGTTTGGATGATCCTCGTACACCTGTCCTGCATGCTTTTCATCCTCTTGCGTGTGATTCCGTAAAGAAGCTATTGTGTAATGGAAATGTGATTGGAAATGCTACACCTGGCCTCCGCACATGCGCACTGTAACTTAAGCCCTCCTGCCGATTGGATGCGTAGCCTTTACCCTTTCCAGCTTTGAGCCTGGATCCAATTATTACGATCAGCTTTTCATACCACAGTATGCTTGTTTCAGCAATATTACTGTTTGCATTTGTGTAAACATCCTTATGTAAGTGACACAGAAGTGAATACACGATTCCGGTTAAATCATGGATCATCCGGATGTGTGATGAATGGAAAGAATAGTCTTATTTCGATGGGTCTTTCAGGGTGATTTCTTTTTTTTTTGTGTGTGTGTGATGAATGTGAACAAAGGAGCCTAACAAAAGCTTACTTTGAGCACACTGCTCTGCTCTGAGTGTGTCCATCAGAGGCAGATGACTTCATGCCAGGATGAGAAAACTCAATGGCGTGTAGACTGCAGGCGGTCGGCCCGGGGTTGTGCAGAAGAGTGGTTTGCCAGTCAAACTTAAGAGACACTTTTTAGGAAAGGAGGCCTTTGATGATGATGATGATGATGATTGCATAATGGCGCTTAAAAAGACCTGCGTGTCAGTGTAAAAATAGGCGACATCCAGTTGAATTACTGTCCCTGCACAATTCATTGTGGACCGTGATGCAGAAGTGAATCACTGCCTCTCAGAGCTGCAAATGGGAGTTTTTACAAACCGGCAGGGAAGCTGTGAAATTGAGTGGTTGGGTAATTATGGCTTGTACGAATCTAACAAATGGACGCTCAAAGTGCACAAGCTGGGGATTTTAACCAAGTCAATTTACTGTATCTACTTGCATACATGTTCGAGGTGCTTGAAGCTATACTTCACTATTTACAGCTTTATACTTCTCCCCACAAAAGGTCATTTTGTGCCTTTCACTGCACTACAATTAGCCGACGGTTTATTTTACACACAGGTATACAGACATGTTTGATAAAACTTGCCAACAGTATAGTCTATAGTTCTAATAAAGTCCCAGCTGCAGCAGTGCAATTATACCAACAACTAAATGCAACAAAAATAACAAATAATTTAATATAAAATAACCAGCTGTTTTTCTTTGTTAGTGCTTTGATGTTTGCATAAAAAATGCAACATGCAGTGAATTTGATCTGTATAATCTGATCATCAAAGTAGTTTTAAAACGTGGCTTAATATCAGAACATTGGCTCTTTGTTCAAATCCACTCCACGGTAAGTAATTGCAGCATTTGAGCTGCATGGAGATGATCCCGTGTTTAATTATCACACACTTTGACTTAGCAGGGCACATGATTTATAGCCAATGTCTCAAGTCAAGGCCTTGTTTCTTGCTCTGCTCCACCTTTCCTGTTTCTCATTTCTTTCCTCGAGCATGTTTAATCAAGTGCAAAATGGTCGCTATTTATTTTTATTTTTTTGCACAGTGAAGTTTGGGAACGCTGCTTGCCGTCGTCCCAAGGGACTCGCAGATGGACAGAGGAGTGCCACACAAGATGACAAGAAGTACGCATGTGCACTCCGTTTTGGAATGACTTTCCTCAATCTAATGCCAGATCTCACGATCTCCTGACCTGCTCACGTCACGATGGAAATCCAACGACAGCGCCTGCAAACCACTTACATACAATAATAACCATCACAGCGCTGCGATGTGTGAATGGGCCCGAGCTCAGGCCTCATCCCTCGTCAACCCCTCCGTGAATCCGTGTTCCCGGCACCTCTTTCTCCGGCTATTTTCCCTGCCGAGGAAACCGTGGCCCTCATTCGTGACCGTTGATGGCATGATGTCGTATATAGTAGTTGTTCTTCAGGGTGGCCTGTGGTTAGAAAGTTAGAACAGGGTCCATTTCTAAATGGGGTAAAAGAGCCTTTATGGAACCAGATCTTCTAAAGCCCTGGGCTGACACTGCACAAACTTATGTAACATGCTGTGTTATAGAGGGGCTCCCATTGCACCGTGTGTGTGTGTGTGTGTGTGTGTGTGTGTGTGTGGGGAGTGTTGACACGGACACTCTCACACATGACTGGTCGAGTGAGGAGACCTGAGCAGTGTCATTACGCTCCATATCAGAGGGTGTTGGACCTCTACACACACACAAGCGCACTTTTTGAAAATCTATTGTTTTCTGCCAGCCATTCTTTTAATGTCTGTAAATGGGGAAAGGATGATATCATGCAAAAAATGAATATAGATATATCTGTCAACGGGGGCAGGAAGACGAGGGAAAATTCGCATTTCAAATTGGATTCGGAAAGACTTTTGCACAA